CATACCACATTTCATGGGGTTAAGGTAGAAGGCAGTCGATCTCAATCAATCAATCAATCAATCAATCAATATTAGTTTACAAGGCAGTTTTTCCTGGAGCCTCCATTCCCCTTGGAGAGCCTGGCAAGCTACTGAGGATATCCAGCCCGCATGGCAGAGCCTGGCAAGCTACTCGTGGTACATTTGATATGCCAAAAACAGTAACAATAACGGGCCTCATTCCCCTGACCCTGAAAGAGCCTCCAATATGGCAGCATTGGGAAGGACGAGTAAGGAGAGGCTGCTAAAATCTGAGGGCTAGGATGAATGGAGAAGTTACTGGCGCCTGCTCAAGCAAATCAATCAACAATGGGATGACAGTGATACAGTGATACAGTGATACAGTACATAAGGCTTTACATATAACAACATGTTAGTAATCTCTATAAAAAGGCTTAATTGCTCCAAAGTGAGATTCAACAGTCTCCACACATTTTCTTCTAATAAAAGTTTTTTGGATCATTTTTAATGCATTATTCATAACAAGCAATACCAAATATATTACCAAAGACCTGCTTTGGGGGCAGACTTGGGTGGTGGTGGGAAAACTCAAAATAATGTTGGTAGGAAGGTGTAATGGTGGTGGAATATTGAATGTAATAAATTACTGTGAAGAATTTTATAAAAATAAAATAAAATTTGGGAAAAATGATTGTTGAATCTTTGACCACTCACTAAACTTCTGAGAGTCAGTTTGCTTGGCCTTACAGCTGGAATAACAATACCCATTCTTGCAAGATCAGGAGAAAGATAAGAGAAAATGAATGTTAAGAATCCAAGACGGAGCTCGTTACTTAGGGGAACTCAGTAAACAGTAACTACATACCCCAGTAAATAACACAATTATCACAGTAGTACAAAAACCATGACATTTTCTCTGGATTTCAGTCACCAACGCAAGATTTTTAGAATAAGTAGTTTGCATCATGAATCCCAACTGTGTACTAACTACTGATTTAACTTTATGCAATATTGCTTCTCCATGCTTCCATGTCTTTCTTTTTTTTTTCTTTTTGGGTCACACTGGTGATGCACAGGGGCTACTCCTGGCTTATGCACTCAGGGATTACCCCTGGCGGTGCTCGGGGGACAATACGGGATGCTGGGAACCGAACCTGGATTGGCCACATGCAAGGAAAATGCCCTACCCACTGAACTATCGCTCCAGCCCCATGTTTCCATTTCTTTATCTGAGAAATAAGATAGTAAATAATGACGACCTGTATGTGATACACTGATAATCAACTCTCGCAAATACTAAATTCTTTACTAAGTATCAACTATCATCTTTATTTATTAAGCACCAAGTCCAAAGCATTGCTAAACATTAGTTTGGTCATGATTTTCACAACCAGGCATGGGGTTAGGAGTCAGAGTGAATGTATGCTGACACCAAATCATGGAGACTTGAATTTACAAAAACTCTGTTTTCCATTAACCTGGATTATCGACATTTGATTTGTATTCATGTGCTTAATATTCATTTAGAACTTTAGAGTTTATTCAATTGAAACTGAGACCAACCCAAACAAATGAAGTAAAACAATCACTGTGTCCCAGAAAAACTCAAAGTTTTAAGTCTTCTGTGACTCTCTTTTTGAGATATTCTTTTCCTTACTGACTTGACTCACTCAAGAAACATTCGTTGAGCTCATGTGGGGCTTCAGACTCAAAGTCATTCCATGGAGAGAAAAATACACAGAAAAGAACAAGTGAGGTATTATCAAGCAGCATGCTGCCAATAAATAACAAATAAAAACAAACTTAATCAAAAGTGTGCCATATGCTGCCAAACAAATATAACTTGTTCCTGAATCAAAGAAACAATAAATATGTAAATAAGCAGCAAAACACACTTTCCAATTTTATCACCAGAAAACATTGTCCAAATTTTCATGTGAAGCTTTCCAAAATTGTTTACAATGCTAAAATATAAACTTCATAATCAACATAACAGGAAGAGGACCATTTTCTTTTCTGTTCAAAAAAAAAGGAATCGTCTATCAAACATAATTATATTCCAGTATGAGGGTGTGTGGGGGCCATTATCGCTGAATATTGTAGACAAAAAATAGGTAAAAAGATAAATGCTTGTGCTATATTGGTAAAAATATAAGAAGAAAAGACCTGATGAGCAATGAAGTCTGGTCAAATAAGGTCCTAAATTTCATAAGTGTGCTTGGCATAATTTTGTAAGAAACGATTGTTCTGATAATGAGTAACCAAAACCAACAAGACACTGAACCCAAAAGGGCTGAATAAAAAACCAGAAGGTTTCCTTTTCCAAGTATCATATCAAGTCCCCTTTCCAAAAAAAATTTTTTAAAAATTTTAAATTTGCTTTCAAAACCACATCACAGAGAGGGAAACTATATAGATTCTTCTAATGTAAAGTCCTGTATTAGGTAAAGTGTGGGGGGAAAGTGTTTCTATAGTACTGAAAGTATAAGTTAATATTTTTCTATATATTGGCTTCAAAAATGCTCCCAAGCTGGGGACTGAAGTGATAGCATAACGTGTAAGGCCCTTGCCAGACCAGGAATCAATCCTAGCATCCCATATGGTCCCCAACAACTGTCAGGAGTGATTCCTGAATGCGGAGCCAGGAGTAATCCCTGAGCACTATCAGGTGTACTCCCTAACAAACAAACAAAATAAACAAAAAAAATGTCCTGAGCTTTGACCCACAATGCCATTTCTGGTAAATCATTCCAGGAAAATACTCACAAAGTGATAACAAAGTTTATTTCTAAGGGTGTTGGTTTCTAGTAATGTTAAAATAAAGACAACAATCAAATGTGTACCATCTGACACATGATACGTTTTAAATTTTCAGGGTGATGTGATGAAAAATCTTTTGGAGAAAGAAATGTATCACCATGTCAAACCACTCACCACTCAAGGTCTGGCTAAGAGGGAAACTGGATAGGTAAGTTTTTTTCTGATATAAATTCTCAGAGAAAAACACCCTGACTGCAGTATCTATGTTTCAATGACAGACTTTATACCTCATTTCTTTTATGTAGCCAGACTCACTCTTCTTTAAATTTGATTTCAAGCAGCAAGCAAAGTCTTCCTATGTATCTGTTGAAGTGGATATATTACTTTTTTCCTTTTTTTTTCTTTTTGGATCACACCTGCAACATGGGGTTACTCCTGGCTCTGCACTCAGAAATTACTCCTGGCTGTGTTCAGGAGACCATATGGGATGCTGGGAATCGAACCCGGGTCGGCCACGTGCAAGGCAAACACCCTACCTGCTGTACTATATCACTCCAGCCCCTGTTGAGGTGGATTTAATAGGCCTGTACCCTGAAAGGTCTTGTGAGTTAAAGATTTAGTCACCCCCAGACAGTTCCCAAAGAGCCTGAACAGCACCACATTCTCAGGCAACCATTGGTCCCTTGACTGGTCAGTCAAATATTGCTGGAACTGATACCGGGCAGAGCTTGGAAGGTTCCTGAAAATTAAGGCAATAATGATAATAAAAGGTTAACAACTGCTTGTTGAGTGAAGATGGTCCTAAATATCTTTTCTAATTTGTCAGACTCGTATGAAGATCAAATTCATCCTCTCTCCTCCAACACAGCCTTTGTTCCTTCTTTTTTTCTGGCAGATACACACTCAGAAGTGATAGTGAGCCTTTCCTCTGTCTCACACACATCAGGTCTCCAGTGCCTGGGCACTGAGCATGCACTGGAACAAATCAGCTACTCTAGCTCCAGCCTTTGGAAAAGCTCCAGGTCTCCATTACCTCCCTCTAGCCCATTAGAAAAAGGAGCTTGAGAGCCAAAGAAATAGTGCAGTAGTTGCCTTGCATATGTCCTACCTGGGGTTCAATCCCTGGCACCCTATACAGCCCCCCAAGTAATCCCAGGAGTGATCCCTGAGCACAAAGCCAGGAGTAAGCCCTGAGCACCACCAGGTGTGGTCCCCAGATGCAAGAAAGGAAGGCAAGGAGGGAGGGAAGGAAGGAGAGAGGTAGGAGGGAAGGAAAGACAAACCCCTTTAGACGCAGAATCTTTTAAAAGATTTGCAAGGCTTGAGAAAAAAAAACATGTTTAGAGGTGTCTGTGTGTGTTTGTGTGTTGTATATAAGTCTGTGTGTGGTGTCAAGGAATCAACTGAAGCTCAGCCATACATTAAGTCACCTTTGCCACATCCCTAGCCCCCTTTATGCTGATTTTTTTTCATTTTGGGTTTGGGGGCCACACTCAGCTGTGCTCAGTTCTTATGCCTAGACCTGTGCTCAGGGTGTGCTCCTGTTGGTGCTCAGAGGACCATACGTGCTGTGGCCAACCTGGGTGGCCTGCATGCAAGGTAAGTGCATTATCCTCTACATGATCTCTCTAGCCCCACTGCTCATACTCTGGAACTAAAAAGATTACATTTAAATCCCTCACTGAGTGAAACATGTACAAGTCTTGCTAAATAATTTATAGGTTCAAATGTTAATAATGGCTGTCTGTCACTAATAATGCAATGCCTTCTGTTAAACACTGAGCTGAATTGCATTTTTTCTAAAACTACAGAGCCTTAACAGAAAGTGATAAAAATCAATCAACTCTACCTGCAGTGACTGAAGTTTTTAAAGACTTTTTAAATAATTTAACCAAACTTAACCTCAGAATTTAACAAATGTTACATAACTAAGTATCACATAGCATATAAGAAATATACCATATTTCCCATATATTTTATAGTCTTCCATAGTACAAAAACTTACATAACCATAGATGATATTACGATATGGCTCAGACACACCTTAGGATGGAATATGCCTACAGAGACAGGTAACTCCGAGAAACCTTAAAATCTTGTTTCAACAAGTAGCAAAACATTATCAGCTTTCTCAAATCCCATTTGCCCCTCCTAAATGCTTCGTCGATGAATGCTCAAGTAAACAACAAGAAAAGAAGAAAAAAAATACAGAAAAATAAAAGAGCAAGGGAGCAGCCTACCTTTTCCTCTCAGCCTTTTTGGGGCCTCTGGGAAAGAAGGCTGAGAGGGGCTCACTTCCAGGTAACCTTCGGGGGTCTTTCCCTGCGACTGAAGCCAGCTGAAGTAGGTCACGAGAAACCAAAGTGCATCTTAGAGACAGCAGCAGCATCAAGTTACTACTTTCTCTTTCTCTGGTCTTGCCTGTGCAGCACAAAGGTGACACCTCACATCTTGTCAGAAGACCAAGCAGATGGCCTGGCTGAAAAGGACAAAGTGACTCCAGGTGCTGCAGTGACTGAGACTGCCGGGCTCTACTCTCAGTGGCGCCACATGTAGGGATCTCTATGCAGGAAGCTGAGAGCCAGGCAGAAAGCCAAAACCCTTCAGAAAAACGTGCCAAAGTCTTACAAAACCCCCCCTCTCTGCTGGGCTTTCTCTACTGCGGAAGCTGTCGTCTACTCCTGCGTGAGGCCTGGCCAGACTTAAATCAGCCCTGCCCTTCTGCCAGAGCAATGCCAGGGTAGGCTATAGGGTTAGCGAGAGCCTAGGGCAACCCTGAGCACCGCGCTGGGGTTTCTACTCAGCCTCTTCCCATAGATGACTGCTGTGAGTGTCCTTTCACAGAGCTAGGGACAGACCTAACCTGAGTATCCTGGACCCTGTGGGGAGGAGAGGCAATGCACCTCTTAGAACTTCCAAGCTGCTCTCAATATTCTGTTGTCTGATTGACCATCGATCACGGACTCCTTCAGTCCCAGAAGAGGGAAGTGTGTATCTGGAAGCACCATGGCCATGTCTGGGGGCTGACAGGGAACTTTGACAGCTGCAAATCCTGTCTACCACCAGCAGCTTCTCTCCACTGCTTCTTCCAGGGTTGCAGAGTAGGAAGACAGACAGTGGATGGCGAATACTTTATTCCAGAGACACTCGCATAGCACTGGCCTCTACGCTTTGCAATGCTGTCTACGAGGCCCTTGGGAGAAAGAAAAACAGATTAAGATGTATTCTTGGCCACAAGCTCACAATGCAGTAGGGAGTAGGCTGGGCCAGTAGGTTTAACCCACTACGTTTGCTTCTGCAAACAGGAATTCGTGATCCCCAAACTTTCTCTACTTTGTGTAGCTTGTCTTTCCTGAGACTCTAGTGGAGAAAAGAGTTTATTTCAGGTTTTTTCTCCCCCAGATCTTCTACTCTCCTTCAAATCACTTCTCTCTTCCTCTTTCCCTCTCCTTACCAGGAGAAGACAGTCAGGAATGTGTGCTGTTTGGCTCGCATGTGTAGCACACACACACACACACACACACACACACACACACACACACACACACACACTTATGCCTGCTTTTGATTTTCTCAGTTGCTTAGTTCTCCCACAGAGTTAGGAAAATCCAAGAGTCAGTTGGTAATTAAAATTCAATACCAGAAGTTTATGGAAATATCTCCCAAACACTAGAGTGCATTTATGAATTCTGGAGCTCAGAATTCACTAGAGCCAAGCCTGAGCTTTTCCTACTCAATTACTCCAAGAGGGGAGAGGAGATACTCACAAGTGCACTATGCAAACAGGATCCTTGTGTCACGGGGCTTATAAGCACTGCCTGAGCCACCTCCAAGCACTAACTAGCCTCCAAGCCCATGAGTACTACTTAAAAGGAAAGATTTACTTCCAAACAAATATAACACTAAATTTATCCAAAGATGTCATTGGAATAACATTCTATAATTAATTAACATGATCTGTGTAAGTCTATACGTATACTTGATTCATAGATTTTCCTGAAATGTTTTATGAAAGAATTTGCATTTGAGTCTATTTTATGTGCTTTTGGTCTGTTTTTACTATACATCACAACTGGTGAGCAAGGAGAATTCCAAGTAGCAAGCACAGTGTGTATGTGTGTGTATGTGTGTGTGTGTGTGTGTGCGTGCATCTGTGTGCATGGGGTGCAAACATGTATATCTACTTAAAATTTGATCTCAGCTCTCTCCACATATGGGTCTTCTAAAAAAGCGCGTCAGTGGACTGGAGAGATAGTACAGGGATAAGGCACTTGCCTTGCACTCCTCCTACCTGGGTCTGATCCTCAGCACAACAGAAGGTCCTCTGACATTCCCAGGTGTTATCACTGAGCACAGAACCAGGAGTAAGTTCTGAGCACCACTAGTGTGGTGTGACCCAAAAACCGAACAGTGAAATAAAGGCGAGAGGGTGCAGACCTGGGAATGGCTCAGTGGTAAAGCACCTGCCTCACAAAAGCACCCTTTTCATTTAAGTGAAGCATCAGCGAGGCTCCAGTTCATTGACTGTTCTGTTAATTGCCATCAAACCTGGACCAAAACAGGTCAAATGCCACAACCCCATCCCTGTTTGCATCAAGATTACCTTAATAGGTCACTCGTGACCCTTCACACATTCCATCTATTCCAGTATTTCCCATACTAGGTGACGCTGCTCCCCTCATGGACTGATCCCGCACAGAAGTGGTTGTCTCAGGTTCCAAGGGATGCTGAGTGACTTTTTCCCCTGAAAAACAGTTTGTAGGTAAAATAAGTTTGGGACCCTCCAAACTATTCCAAAAGAAAGAACTAGCAGGATTATGTACAAGAAAATCATATTGCTCTATCTTGTTATAATCCAGTACTTTGAGAAGAGCAAGAAAAGAAAAGAGCATGTGGCAAGAAAAGAGCCACTACCCTCAAAACAGAAACAACAAAAGCAAAGAAAAAGAAGATCTGATCCTAAGCATCACTGAATCACTAATACAAGTCAGCAGCTAATGGATAGGAAGGTTACATCTGCTTTGCATTTTCTTCCCAAACACCCACTGAAAGAAAGTTTTCTGACATGGAAATGAGTCAGTGCATGAAGCTTACTCTCCCAGTGCAGCTGAGAATTCTTGGGGGCTGGAGAGAGATGAGATGTTCTCAGAAGGAGCAGGGTTTGCGAGTGTGTGCTAAGTCACATGTCTGTCTCGCAGAAGCTTCTGGTCTCATGGGAGACTCCGCCATCCCTGTTAAACAGCATGCTTCTGACATCATTCCTGTTCTCTCAAGAAAGTGGCTCAAGACCAGACTCCCCCAGGCCTGACTTCAGGTTCTGGGTGAATGCCATTCTTCACATACAAAGTTCCGCTTTTGTCAGGTATTCAGTTATTGGAAAACACCAAAAGCCCTGATAATTTCCAAAGATGCCCTCATTTGCAGTGACCAAGCAATCTCTTCAATATCTTGCTGGCACTAAATAATTCTCCAAACTCTGACCCACTGATTGCTTGCTCATTTGAAGTATTTAGCAAGAGATGGAAGGAGAAATTGCATTGCACAACTTTCTAAAGAAGGATAGAACAGGATAGTGTTAAATGAAAAAAAAAAAAAGCAGAAAAGGCAATCCCCCTGTTGCCAGCAGCCTTAGACTGAGTATGTGGAACAATCATAGAACCCTTCCAAGAAACAATTTTTACTCAACCCTGATTCCACTGTGCTTTTATCATGAAAATTAATAAAAAAAAAACTGAATGTATTTTGATCCAAAGCATTCTACACAACCCACAGATAAGGACTTAATATTCCCATGGTGAGATAAAGCAATTTCCACAAATTTTTTTTACTCAAGTAATTTTTTTATCATTCCAAAAGTCACTTAGTGGTAACAAGCAATATAAAATGAATAATTGTGAGTCTGCTTCACCCTACAGACTTGAAGGATGGGTGGAAAAATGGAGACAATGTTGGAGGGAAGGTGACAATGGGTGGTGAGATTGGTGTTGGAATATTGAGTACCTATAACAAATCATCATAAAAAATTTTGTAAACCACGTTGTTTAAATAAAGTGGGGGAGAAAAAAATTACTACACATCCTTTGTTTCAGGACAAACATGAAAATAATTTTAGGGGGGTATTATTAATATTCTCAGGGGCTGGAGAAATAGTAAAGCAGTTAAGGCATTCTTGACTTGCTTTCATGTTGCGGACCCGGGTTCGATCCCTGGCATCATATATGGTCCCTGAGCCCGTCTAGAGTGATTCCTGATTGCAGAGCCAGGAGTGCCCTTGAGCACCACTAGGTGTGGCCCAAAAACAAAACAACCATCAAAAAATTCTGTTTTCCTTTAAAAAGGGTCACACAAAGAGATATTTTATAAAAGCTACATTTATGTTGAACAATTAGATTGAAAATGTAGTAGAAGCACTGTTCCAGATGGGGAAACATGGACAAAGGTCATTCTAACCCGCATCCCATGGGAGGGACATTGGGAGTACTGATGAAAAAGATGGAGGAGGGAAAGGAGAAAATGTGTGAGTTGGGGCAGGGTGCTCCCATTGGAGGGAGTAAGTAGCAATCTGTACACTAATGATTCTGAGTCAGGAGGAAGTTTGAGGAATGCTGATTTCAGCTTCTTTAAAGGTGGGACTGCATTTCCCCTGTTTTGTATGCTGTTGCCAGCAAATAGGCTGTTAATGATTTGAGACTCCAAGGCTGGTCCAGACACAGACACCCAGATACAGGAGAGGAAGCCACTGGCTAATGAGTCCAAAGCTATTAGAAAACTGAACCCATGTCAGACTCCACTAGCAGTGAAAATTGTCAGAGTTCCAATATGCTCATTGTGATTTTACCGGAAAATCTAGTTGCTACTTATGTCTAATTCTCTCTGGGCTTCTAATTGGTAATAGCAAGACTTCTGGCATTATTCCTTGGCAGGAAGTTAGATTAATCATGGACATCGAGATAGGTAGTTCCAGCAACACTGACCTGGGGATGGGGAAGGAATTGTAATTTCCTGTCTTTGGGTACAACTTGTCCAAACTCAGTGGTTATTCTATTATCAAAACTTGATCATCTATATGGCCATGGCTGAAGTCATTGTGAAGCCAGACTGCTTAATGGTCTGGTATGTAACAGCCTAAAAGATTTTATCTTTGGTTCTTAGGAGAGGCCCAGATAGGATCCTGGGTGTGGTTTCAACTCCCAATCTCATTTGGTATTGCAACTAATTCAGCCTGCTTCTGGGACTTTAACACTTACAAATTATATATCTAATAGAGAAGTAGGAAACATACAATTTTTTGTAAAAGATATCTCAGTTAAACAACAGGCACAGAATTTAAACAGCATGGCCCATGTTGTCATTCCTTTAAATGTGCTTCAAAGCACTAGACATTTTAACTTTCATAGTATCTTTTGTAAGTTCTCTACCTTTCATTTTTTTCTATTTATTAATGCTTTCTCTCATTTTCTTCAATACTAAGTATTTGTTAATCTTGCTCATCCTTTCTTGGTTTCACTGATCTTTT